ATTCCAGCTCAGCTATCAGTACCACCAGAGCCATCAAAACATGTATGTACAAGCAAAACTTTTAAAAAATGCTCTTAGTAGCTAATAACATAAACATGTGAAGTTCTTACATTTTTAATAATTTGATCTGAAAATGATAAAAAAATTAAAAAAAGTAACCCAGATCGGCAGAAATGAAGGCCCAATAAGGACTAAAAATTCATAAAGATTCCGCGGAACCCAGTGTCTCGCCTATTTTTGCTGTTAGTCGCAGGCTCAACAAAAATGGGGAAAAAATTATTAAAAATTTTCCTCTAGATACTATCTTTTGATTGTAAGAAGCTTCTGTCCAAGTTTGGTAAAAATCCAGGATGGTTTATGAATCTAATAAATGTTTTAAAAACTTAACTGCAGACTGTATGTAATGTTAACTGGAAGAAAAACTAAGTCACTTTATAAGTAATATACGGAAAAACAGGAAATAAATTTTTACAAAATTTCTTTCTAGATACTAGCTTTTGATCATAAACAAGCTTCTGTCCAAGTTTGGTACAAATCCAGGATAGTTTAAGAAAGTTATTAAAATTTTTAAAACTTTAACCACAGAGTGAATGTAACGTTAACTGGCAGAAAAACTAAGTCCATTTAAAAGTAAAATACGGATAAACAGGATTTATTTTTTACAAAAATTTACTTCTGGATACTATCTTATGATCATAAACAAGCTTCTGTCCAAGTTTGGTAGAAATCCAGGATAGTTTAAGAAAGTTATTAAAATTTCAAAAACTTTAACCACAGAGTGAACATTGGTGGACGCCGCCAACAACGACGAAGACGACGCCAACGACAGAATGTAGGATCGCTATGACAAAAGTCGCAGGCTTGACAAAAATGTAATGATCTGTAAATAGAATTGTGTTAACTCCAAAAGTAGGGGCTAGGTTGTGTCACTCTATCTGTCCTCCGCCAGTTCATCTTAAAAAAATTTAGTCACACTTTTCTCTGAAACTACTGAAAGGAATGACTATTTTTTGCAGGAGCTCTACAGTGATGAGTTGTAACATGTGTAACACTTTTCAGATCTGTCAAACACCTACTTCCTGTAAACAGATAATTTCAACTACAAAGGGGATAATGGGTATTCTGATTATAACATTGCATGCATTCTTGTTAAAATTTGATATATTTGCAGGAAAATCAATTGGATGTTCCAGAGAGTCATTACAATACGAGGAAGATAAAATATGTTTATGCATCTCAGACCAGTGATAAGGTAATTTTGGAAGATGACTTCAACTGCTTTGTGAGCTTTTGTGGGCTGAGTGGCAGCTTGTACATCTGCTGTCCATCAAATTACACATTTCAATCTTCTCCTCTCAAACTGAATAGCCAATAAGAATCATATATATGGTAGTACAAGTAATTCATGATAAAAAATATTCTTTAAAATTTTATCCTCTGAAACTTATGAGCCAATCAGGACATCACTTGTGAAATGGTCCATAGATGATCCCCTTTAAGAATCAATGTACATGAGGTGACCCTGTTTGGGTTCCTCCTATGTAGTTAGATTTTGGATACTAGTATTTGACCTTGCTTTTAAATTGGTCCACATTGAGGTCCAAAGGATCCAAAATTAAACTATGTGTGATTGCACCAAAAACTGAATTCTTGTGGTACTATGATATGCTTAATCTAACCATTAAGATTTTTTATTTTTGAACCCACTTAAATTAGTCCACATTAAGGTATAAAGGGTCCAAAATTAAACTGTTTCATATCATCAAAAAACAACTCCTTGGGGATCTTTGATATGCTGAATCTAATCGTTTTTTTTTTTATTTTTTTAAAAATTAGGCCCTCGTTTTCAAAATGGTCCAAATCAGGGTCCAAAATTGATTTTATTAAAAAAAATGAATTCTGGTGGGTCTTGATAAGTCAAATCTTGCTGTGAATATGGATTTTTAATTTTAGGCTGATTTCAAATTAGTTCACATTGATGTCCAAAGGGTCCAAAATTAAACTTTGTTTGATTTTAATAAAAATGAAATTCTTGGGGTCCTTTGATATCCTGAAACTAAACATGTATTTATATTTGTGATATTGGGTCCAGTTTTCAAGTTGGTCCTAATCAGGGTCCAAAATTACATCTGATTTCAATAAAAATAATTATATTTAGATTTAGGATTTTTAGCCCTGTTATCAAATTGGTCCAAATTTCGGTTCATAAAGGGTCTTAAATTAAGCTTTGTTTGATTTCATCAAAAATGTAATGCTTGGGTTTTGATACGCCTGTTTACGGGACGTATTATGGTATACCGTTGTCCGTCCGTCCGTCCGTCCGTCTGTCCGTCTGTCTGTCCGTCCGTCGTAAACATGTCGGACATTAACTCAAAAACGCTTTAACCAATTTGCATAAAACTTTGGTGAATTGTTTATATCTATTGATGTGAGCTCCCTTTCGTTTTTTATAAATGTTAGATTTTACGTTTCCGTGTTGTGGGGTTTTATTCATTAAAAAAAAGGGGGATTTTCCAGTTTTCGGACAATAACTCAAAAATGCTTTCACCAACTTGCAAGAAATTGTGGTGAATTGTTTATATCTATTGACATGAGCTCCCTTTGGATTTTTATAAATTTTAGATTTTACGTTTCCGAGTTATAGGGTTTTATTTATAAAAAATGGGGATTTTCCAGTTTTTGGACAAAAACTCAAAAATGCTGAAAGCAGTTCTTATGAAACTTTGGTGAATTGTTTATATCTATTGATGTAAGCTCCCTTTAGAATTTTATAAACTTTACATTTTACATTTCTGAGTTATGGGGTTTTATTCATTAAAAAAGGGGGGATTTTCCAGTTTTCGGACAATAACTCAAAAATGCTGTCAGCAATTCTCATGAAACTTTGGTGAATTGTTTATGTCTATTGATGTAAGCTCCCTTTTGATTTTCATAAATTTCTAATATGACATTGAGAATTAATTGAACTTTATTTGTTTATAGTCTGACAACAGATTTACTAAGTATTGCGCAACAGCACAGTGTATTACACAACAGCAAGAAATCTTTAATTGAATACAAATTCAATTCATATAACCAATTTCAATTTCTTTGACTACATTTATTCAGAAACCTATATGTCGAATATTTAATTACAATCCAAATTCAGACCTGTATCAAGCTTGAATATTGTGTCCATTTTTGCCCCAACTGTTCAGGGTTGGACCTCTGCGGGCGTATCCAGCTGCACTCAGCGAAGCAGTTTATTTTTATATGCTGAATCTAACCATGTACTTAGATTTTGAATATTGGATAATAGGTAATGTCATATATTAAGTTCTTTGACCAAATTCATTATGAGTCAGAAACTTATGATGTGTCAAATAATTAATCACAATCCAATTTTAATATACATTAAAAAGCAAAAATAATCATTGATGAGAAATTTACGAGAGATCCAGTAACTCTAACGGCCATCCAAGATGATGACAAACATCATGTACATGTAGCATTACATTAGACCTTAATATTGGTCTATTTGGGAAATGTAAAACTAGCAGTTTATGCCGTCAACTGTGAAAATACTTGCAAACATAAATGTATCATAAAGTTCTGTTCATAGAGATCTGTAAATTGTATTCTTTTTATTTCAGGGATCTATTACAGATTCTCAGACATCCAGTTGGAGTCAGACGTCAGAATTTTTTGAGGCAGAGGGAAGTACATGAACTGATCAACTTGCTAATGTAAATAACTGTTTGACACTGATCTCAAATAATACTGTGAGTCCCTTAAGGATGTACACCTCTGAGGAGCCAAAAATTTCTAGAATTAAACTTTTTTTCTTAACCTGATTTTTGGGTTTATATGACTGTAAATAAATAATTGGTGAAGAAAAAATCATATGGTGGTGCACTTTTTTTTTGCTACAGCCTTTTGAAAGTACCCAATTTTGATGATTTTCCCATTTTTCATTAATTTTTACCCATTTTTGGGCTATTATCATGAAAAAAATCACAGTTTCACATTTAAACTTTTTTTCATACTTTCACTAAAGATGAAGTGGACCAATCTGAATAAATTTAACTTAAAAAAACTATGGGTAGGTGTTAATATAAGAAAGTGTAATAAAATTTTGTTGCTTTTTCGTGTCAAATTTACCATGTTGTCAATTTTGTAAATTTGGGATTTTTCTCTTATTTTAGAACAAAAAGCATATTATTTCAACTTCTTTGTTATAAATGATTGAAAAAATATATATCTAAGAAATTTGAAAAGAAAAAATCGATATGGGATGTACATGTATCTGGTAAAATCATTTCTTGTACCACTCACCCATTTTTTCAACATTTTGGCTAATGAGACTGACTTGATTGGTTATAAAATTTGATTTTCAATTTCAATTTTTCACAGAGTTAAGTTTGATTATAATATTTTTTAAATTCATTGATATTTTCCACTTGTATCACATGTTTTTGAAATAATTCCAGAACGAGATTTCAACGGGACTGAAACGTCACAAGAATACATCCTTTAAAAGATCTCAACTGAAAACAACTTACACGAAAAACTGATGAAGTAGTATCACACATATGTGAATTAATTGCACCTGGTCAGTCTGATGAATTAAAGAAAGCAAAATTATCTTCTGGAATTACAACTTCATTACCTGAAGAAGAATTTATATTAACATTATCTAAGACTGAAAACAATGTATTAAGGTCGCAACTGCTTGCTGTTCTGTCAAAAAAATACGCAAAGTCAGATATAGATAGGTACATAACTAATATTTCAAGCTACAAATATTATCAGTCTAAAAATTTAGATATTGAAACCACAGGATTGGTTGACATGGTTAAAGAAAAGCACCCCAGACAAAGGATGAACACTGTCAAATTAAAGCATTCTATGGCATTCTTTACTGACTCATGTTTTGTTCAATCAGTTAGTTATGGAACACGTGATATAAAATTGGACTCTGGTGCAAGTCTAAGTATTCCAGATGAAGCCAGAACAGTATGTCATTCACAGATGGTTAATTTATATCTTTCATATTGTGAAAATACTGACTTTACTCCATTAGGAAAATCATCCTTGTATAGAATCTTACAAACATGTGCAGCTTTAAAAAGAACAAGTTTACAAGGTCTAGACAATATTGCAGCAGATGGAAATGAGGCATTTACAAGACTTGAAGAGATGATTGAAGAGCTTCATAACAAGGGATCTACATGTATGTCAAGTGAACAGCACAAGTTTTGTAAGGATAAGCTTTCTGCAGCAAAACAGTACCTTAAAATTGATTTTAAACTATATTGTGCATCTCAGAGTACATGTGCAGACCACTGCATTGCTTGGCTCCTCAGTGACCCAAAAAGGCCAGAATTTTACTCAGCATGTGACCATGAACACAATGTTCAGTGTGAGCAGTGTCAGCTGATTTGAGATGTTGAAAATGTAATTGTTCAGTCTGCTCAGTCCTGTGAAGATTCAGAAGAGAAAATTAACTACCTAAGTAAAGCCTTGGATCAGATACATAACTGGAAGAGACATATAGTCCGAACAATCAACCAAGACCAATCACGACTGGACATCCTAAAGGACCTCAAGCCTCAGCAGAATTTAATAATCATGGATTTTGCAATGAAATTCCTGCCAAGAAAGGTATATAATTATCCAAATGCATAAAATTTAGAAATTTTTTCTATGAAGGAGCTCACTTTTTTTAATACATTTTCAATTAAATTAAAGTATAACAGTAATGCAGTTGAAGAGTTGCCACCATCAATTGGCGATTTGACGGTCTCAAATGCAGTTTTACTGGCGACGCGTAGCGGAGACATTAAAACAGAAATTTGCGACCGTCAAATCAAAATTGACAGTGGCAACTCTTCAACTACAGTACTGTTATTCCGATTCTAATGCATTACAAAAAGAAATTATACTTTAGAGCTTGAAAAAATGTATAAATTTGAAATAAAAATAAAATGCTGTGAAACTTCATTAATGATTTTGGCGCAGACGTCATGGCTAAACGTGACTTCATACAAATTATAACTTACATTCTGAAAGTTATTACGTTATCTCTACGATTCAAATTTAGATAAAATCACATTAAAACGTCGATTTTGAGGTAGGTATTGTTTTATTTTCAATAATATTAGTAGTAGAACATTTGTTGATCCAATCAATTCAAAATGGTGGGTACCTCCTTAGTTACGGCTGGTCAACTGTTGATTTGACGGTTACTTTTAGCCAATGAAAAAATTGTTAACATAAAAATTGCATTAGAATTCAGTGTTTACAGGCAAACATGCCAGACTACATGTACATGTATGTGCTCAGTGTCAAGTGCATATAGTATGTATAGTATCAAGGATTATGAAACAAAATGTGCATTGTATGCAATTTTTCATATTTTCCACAAAAAAATAGCTTATACTGCAATAGTTTCTATCTTCACCACATAATGGTGTCATTTGTTTACATCACAACAACATATGTATTTATACTGTACATGTAGATACATTTTGTAGTGTACTCTTTGTAAAAAAAAAAATAAAACTCTGGAATGATGAGCAGAAACCGGAACATTAAAAAAAATAGGTACTTTTATATAGATACACATGATACATGTATATTTACCTTAAATTATTTAAGCGAAAGATACCAAAGGGACAATCAAGGCATGATATGACAGTGGTTTTTTTTTCAACTGTTCAGCTTCATTGCTTGTTGGTATGGTTGAGCTTCTAAGTATTTACAGTTTTTATGGACTTTTACTTTTGAATATACGGTGGAGTATGGAACATTTATATCACATGTATCTTTCTTTTCTGTTACAGTATCGAGAAAAACAGAGCGATTGGTTTGGTCAGCGTGGTAAGAACTGGCATGTGACAGTTTGCATCATGAGAGATCCTAGTGGAAAATTGTGTGTAAGTGAGATACAATCTCTTATGTCTGAGATTTTTGTTTCATGTACATTAATTATAACCCATGGATCAAAGTTCTGTAGGGTACTAGTATAATGTTTTTGACTTGCATGTCCACATCCCAACTCTCCCAACTCCTCTGAAACCACTCAACAGAACTTCATGAAACTCTGTAGATAACAAGGACATAATATGTAGATGTGCTTATCGACAGAAAATTATGATACAATTTTCTTTCTTTCATATCAATATTATATCAGAAAAATATATCAAAAATTATCAGATTTTTATAAATCAGCAAGTTCTAATATAACTTCTGAATGAATTAAAATAAAACTTATACATTCGACTTTGAATGCTTTAAACTTGTGCACAATTGCAGCCTGGGTGAATACCATCTGATTGTATCAAATGTGGGAGATCAATATGTAGAAAAATCTGTAAACACATCAAGACAAGGATAAAGAATTCAAAATTTGCAAATCCAAGAACAAAAAAAGTTTGCAGAGTGTTTATATTTGTTGACCATGTTGACAACTAGGTGTGGCTTTTTATTTCTTCTAATTTGTGTTTCTGAAATTTGCATGTGAATATTACCGGTACTTTCCATTACCATGTAAATATTTTTTGTGAAAAATGCAAAATAACTATTCAAAATGTATGTAAAAATTATACTTATGTTTTTTTTCTTGTAGCTCAGAACCTTTACTCATTTGTTTGAATCCGTGAAACAAGATTGGTTTACTGTGGCATCAAATCTAGAAAACACTCTTAAACCACTGTTAAACTACAAGTTCCAAATATAAGGTATTTATCCCACTTACACATAATACATACTTTTATTAATTGTTGTAATGGCATCTTTGCAGGGTTTCTCCACATTTAACAAAGAATTTCACTCATGTAAAATCAGGGTACTCATCGTGTCTTCAGGATGAAGGACAACAGCCAAAGCACCCTTTCATTTGCTTTTAATTTTATTTTCCAAGTATACATGTACATGAGTGATATTGTATAATGCAAATAAACTATAAATTATTTTTCTTCTAATACTTCATGCATTGCCAATAGCATGAAATATGTTTTCAAAATGTGGCTAAACATTTCTTTGTTTATATGTCGCAAAAGTGTTATCTTCTTTTCATACCTGAACCATTCACATGTACTTTAACACAATGTTCAAATCTGTCTGGCGGCTACATGGATATTTTGCTAATTAACATGTTTAAATTTGGTTGTAAGTGCTGTTATACATAAAAAAAAAGTAGAATAACAAAAATACTGAACTCCAAGGAAAATCCTTAAACAACTGACAAAACTAAACCCTCAACTACATCAAATAACAGAATCCAACCGTTCTGAATATAAGTTACACAATGCTTAAAAATTGTTAAGTACTGGTTATGTATCAAGCTATTTAGTATCAAAATACTAATAAACAACCTTGGCTTATCTTATGTAGATAGGATTATTTTCTGTAAGCACTTGGTATAATAAACAACCTTGGCTTATCTTATGTAGATAGGATTATTTTCTGTAAGCACTTGGTATAATAAACAACCTTGGCTTATCTTATGTAGATAGGATTATTTTCTGTAAGCACTTGGTATAATAAACAACCTTGGCTTATCTTATGTAGAGGAATATTTTCTGTAAGCACTTGGTAAAATAAACAACCTTGGCTTATCTTATGAAGATAGGATTATTTTCTGTAAGCACTTGGTATAATAAACAACCTTGGCTTATCTTATGTAGATAGGATTATTTTCTGTAAGCACTTGGTATAACACATGCTGCCTAATAACCGCATTCAGAAATATCACTTCAACACTTGCAACTTCGTCTTAATGTTAGATTTGTTTTTCTTTATTGGGTATTGTACCTCAACACTAAAAGACAGTATATATTTACTACATCTTTATTTTTGTTGAGCCTGCGACTTTTGTTGCATAAGCGAGACATAGCCATCCTACATTCAGTCGTCGTCAGCGTCCACAAATACTCACTCTGTGGTTAAAGTTTTTGAAATTTTAATAACTTTCTTAAACTATCCTGGATTTGTTTCAAACTTGGACAGAAGCTTGTTTATGATCAAAAGCTAGTATCTAGAAGGAAATTTTGTAAAAATATATTTCCTGTTTTTTCGTATATTACTTATAAATGGACTTAGTTTTTCTTCCTGTTAACATAACATACAGTCTGTAGTTAAAGTTTTTAAAACTTAGATTCATAAACCATTCTGGATTTTTACCAAACTTGGACAGAAGCTTCTTACTATCAAAAGATAGTATCTGTAAGAAAATTTTTAATAATTTTTTCCCCATTTTTGTTGAGCCTGTGACTAGCAGCAGAAGTAGGCGAGACACTGGGTTCCGCGGAACCCTTACGAATTTTATTGTATATTTTTTCTTTCTTTTCTAGATCAGATAAGGCAGGATTTTACCACTGTGCTCCAATATGGCTATCAATTCATGGCATTAGTGAGCGGATAGGTTTGTAAATATTATATTTGCTTTGCCTTTTATTTTTCAAGGGTTATTTTTTTTTTTTTAAATTTCGGGTTAAATAAGGTCTTTTATTTCCATTAAATTAGTCTTTTAAGGGTAGGAGTTCAGGGGCAATGTTCATTGGGTTTATTTTAAGCCCCCTCAGCAGCGGAGGGGGGAATTCAGTTTTACCCTTGTCTGTCTGTACATCTGTCCTCACATCCTGAAATTGGTTTCAGTTCTCTAACTTTAGTTTGACTCTACCAAATGTTATGAAAATTATGCAGATGCTTATTACAACAAAACACAGATCAAGTTTGAATTTTGGTGGCGTCACTTTTACTGTTCTTAGAGTTATGCCCCTTTACATTTATGGAAAAATTGCTGAATTTTTCGTTTCAATTCCCTAACTTCAATTTGCCTCAACTAAATATTATGAAACTTATACACAATGCTTATTACCACAAAACACAGATCAAGTATGAATTTTGGTGGCGTCACTTTTACCGTTCTAGAGTTATGTCCTTTACAAATGGAAAAATTGCTGAATTTTTTGTTTCCATTCCCTAACTTAAGTTTGCATCAACCAAATATTAGGAAACTTATACACAATGCTTATTACAACAAATTTTAGATGAAGTACGAATTTGGGTAGTGTTCTTCAGTTCTTCAGTTACTTCCCTTTATAACGTAGTTTGCTAGCAGGAGTATCATCTGTGTCCCATGGGCACATTCCCTATTTATTACAACTATAAATTACATATCCAGTAACTTTTTCATGTTTGTAGTACTTTTTAGGTTTTTATACATGCATTTTTTTCTTGTTAATATAAACATATTTTATTTGTAATCTTCAAAAGGAATGAGACACAAGTTCAAACTTATGATGTCTTCTTTGGTATCTTTGCTTATGCATACCTGCCAACTTTCACGATTTAGGCATGAACTACACGATTTTGACCCCTTGTCACGATTGCACGATTGTGATCGTGTAAAAAGCTCTAAAACACGATTTTGTTAAATTCTACACGAAATAATGATTGTTCCCGATTTTGAACTTTCCCCTTGACGAAAAATTTGATAAGAGCGAAAAAACAGGACAAAAATAGGAGGACCCCGAGAAAGTATCACAAGATATGCGACAAGTGAGAGAGAAAATGGAAAAAAAAGATTTTTACAAGAGGAATTTCTTTCTGCCCAACAAATTGCTAGTTACTTTAGCAGACTTGTTTTAAAGAAGAGGCAGTCTTATAATTCAATGTATACTGAGGAAGATCTTCAGGCTGAAATAGATCCTTATTTCAGGAACTGAATGAAATTGTAGTATAGTGTAGTATATGTTCCAAAAATAACCTTTCATTATAATACCATTACTTGTATCCCTTGCATGGTAGATTGATACACAGAGATCACTATCAATTTTCTTCTCGCCTGGAACAAATTCTTATATATTTTCAACTGGAATGATTTGGTTAAAAATAAAGATTTAGGTAAATTTTGGCCTACAGTTAACATGGTTAACATGGTTAAGTCCCACATCAGTTATTTTTGTATGCATGATGCATGGAAATCACTATCAATTTTCATCTCATCTTGAATAAATTCTTATATATTTTCAACTGAAATGATTTGGTAAAAATAAAGAATTAGGTAAAATTTTGCCTACAGTTAAGTCCCACATCAGTTTTTTTGGTATGAATGATACATAGAAATCACTACCAATTGTCGTCTCTCCTTGAATAAATTCTTATATATTTTCAACTGGAATGATTTAGTAAAAAATAAAGATTTAGGTAAATTTTAGCTTACAGTTCAGTCCCACATCAATTATTTTGGTATGAATGATGCATATTTATAGTAGGGATGCTAACTACAATGCATGTGGCCTTGACCTATATTAATGACTAGAATGCTTTGGTTGGAAATATGAAAATAGGAATATGTGACATGATTGCCAACTCTCCATCCAAGAACAAATGTTGTCAATGTAAACAATTATAGGTCAAAGTACAGCTTACAATGAGGAGCCTAGGCTCTCACGTCCAAGTAAACTATAAATTGCCCCAAAATGACCATAGATAATTCCCGTGGTACGCAGTAAACAGGAATTTATTGTCTTCTCAGTATGGTCTTTCCAAGGCGTATGAATTTTTGGCACCAAAAACTATAGTGGTAAATAGTAAGTTATATGAGTACTTCTAGCCCTACTTTCTTACTGTGTACATCAAAATTTTTCATCACGATAAAGAATGTTCAATTTGGCAACTTTTTATGGTCTTTTATTATTATATATATACAGGAAAAATTGCAACATATGTTTTTCATATGTTTGTCCCAAACATATGAAAAACATATGTTTACAAACATATGTTTACATATGTTTTGAAACATATGAAAACATATGGAAGCAAACATATGTTTTCATATGTTTTATAAAATATGTTTACATATGTTTGTAAACATATGAAAAACATATGATTTTCATATGTTTTCAAATGTTTTAAAGGACATTAAAAAAAAATGTTTTGAGAAAATGTCAAAATTTGTCATTTAATTATCACATACATTTTTTCATTTATTATCTATATAGCGTATTTCTCAAACAGTTCACTTTCTACTCTTCCCACTAAATCCCACATGATCATGATGATGAAAGCAGGTCAGCCCTGTCAGTGTCACCCCCACAGCAGAGCTATCTAATTTTGAATTGAACAGAATGTAGAATAAGTGAATGGGTTATAAATATTAAATAATAATATGAATAAATATTCTTTATTTAGTTTGTTCTTTATTCTCAATTCTTTTTTTTTTATTAATAATCCAATTATTCTCTATGATTCTTTATTCTATATTTCTGCCTTTTTTTACTATCTGTTCTTTATTTTGCACTTTTTGTCATTATTTTCTATTCTTAAACTCCCATCTTGATTCCAGACCCTCAAATATACGTAAATGTACGAAAGCTTGCATGGTACGTCGAACACGAAAACCCGGAAATCTTTTCACCGTTACCGTTTTTTATACTATGCCGCAAAATCCATGGACGCTCACGCGATCATCTGTTGCTGTCTTTTTAAAAGTTTTTAAGAATGGACAGAGATAGATGATACAAGGAACTTTGGTTTTTCAAACTGGTGAATCAAAAATTTATTATAAACAGATAAATTGAAATGGGTGACTTGTCGATTAACTGGAAGAAACCGGGGAACGAAACATAGAAAATTTATGAAACGAAAGTCAACGCAACAAAAGTCAAAGTGTTTTTGTTTTGATGGATAATTTTACGTACCCTAAAAGCGGAACGAAAGGTAAATATTATTATGCACATTTTGTTTAATTATTGGATTAAAGCAGGAAGATGTGTGTGCTTTATTTTTCACAAAAGACTATTTGACTGTAGATATTTGTAAACCTGAGAACGACATTGAAGTTTGAAAAAGGGGGGATATCATATACAAGGGGAGGACATCATATACTTGATGTAATGTATTGAAATTGTTTATCTAATGTCACAACAGAACTTAATTACTTTAACTGATGCAGACCTGTATATCTTATGATACATGTGTGGTATTTGTATTTGTTTTTCAGTTGTTTTAAAACCATGAAATGTAGACGACTTTATTATCTCTCTAGCAATTAATAGCTATTTTACACTTAATACATATGGGTGCCCCTGGGGATCAATTACTAATACTCCCCCTTTTCATATAATTTAGATTTAAAAAATGTATATACCTTTTCATACATCGCGTAGGTAATAATGTACATGTAACCTTTTCCCAATTTTAAAAATGAATGATTCCAGGACATGCAGGAGCGGACAAGAATCACATTCCGGTATTACCGAGAAAATCATCACATTTGATTAAAGCTCAAATCTGAGGCTCAAATTCCTTATTTTATGTTAACTTAAGGCAAAACGAGACTTGCAACTACACAAATGTAAGAAAATTACAGGGCTTTGCATCTGAGAGGGGGGTAGGACCTTTATCGGGACTCTGGGATCGGGTGTTTTTAAGCTCGGGATTTCGGGATTGATCCTTTCGGGATCCGGGAATTCTTTTTTTTCGAATTTCGGGATGTCTGGATTTAAATTTTTTTAAATTCGGGGCCTCAGAATTCCACGTTTTTAAGCCCGGGATTTCGGGATCAGGACCCCTCCTACCCCCCATCATATGACAAGTACAATAAGCCTTGATTATCCTGAGTCTGAGACTACTATTACTGAGTACTATAACAATAAACATCTAGTATTTCTCAGCCTTATCATACATGTATTATACTTCTGATAGTTTTCCACACCTATTCACATATGTTTAAGCTGAAAAATATGACCCAGTCTATTACAGCGGCAGGTCTTATCACCTTGTACATTATAAGTAGAAGTGGACCCTAGAGTGCATGAATGGTCTACTTTACATCTACTTAAATGTGAATATAAAAATAAGAAGATGTGGTAAGATTGCCAATGAGAAGAGTCCAATTCTCCACAAGAGATCAAATGACATAGAAGTTAACAAGTATATTAAAGTTATGGTACAAATGTACAAGATGACTTCAACAATGAACAAAGCCCATACCAGAAAGTCAGCTATAAAAGACATTTAATGGAAATGACAAATGTTAAACAATGCAAATGAGGAAACTAACAGACTGATAATGATTTATAAACAAAACAAGGAACAAATAAACAAATATGATATACAGCAACAAGAAACAGGGCAAGTCTAGATCTGTTGTTCTTGTTTTAAAAGATCAAAATAAGCCATTTTTGCCATATAAAAATATTTAAGGCAATTTGGCAGATGTATTGTAACTTCATTTTATTATACATTTGAACATGTTATACATTATTTCTTTTAGCATTTTCAATGAAAGTACATTTTGTACATGTACTTCAACAGAACAGAATTCATTTGAGGCCTTGCTTTCTAGATTATATAATGGATTCATAGATTGTCATATTGATTTATGTGCATAAAAGGAGCAGTAGTCAATGAATAATT